AGTTAATGGTTCTGGATTAAAATCTTCTCCTTGGAGTTTACGTGGAAATAATAATTCTGAAATGAGGTTTCCCGACCGCCAATCCAAAGAGACGTGGATGAAAGTCCCAAGCCAGGACCGGTGGAGGCGGATCGAAGGCGACACGAGGATGAACGACCAACATTATTTTTAAGACGAATAAATGTGAAACATGATCCAGGAATAAATTAATTCAGCTTTAAAATCAGATTTAGAATTCAGGGTCTGTTTACACGAGAACACTTATGGGTAAAAACGACAAAATATTTTATTGGAAGTGTCTTTCATTTAGACCAGGGGTGTCAAACATACGGCCCGGGGGCCAGATCCGGCCCTCCAAGACCTTTAATCTGGCCCTCGCTGTTTTTCTACCCAAATATTTGAATGATATTTTCTATTAAAATGGTGTTAATTTTGTGTGGTGTTTATCACAGCAGCGTCTCCAGCGTCTCTGTACGTGGCCCCTCCCACCAGAGCAGCACAAATGAAGACTTGTCTCTTTCCAAACGCTCTTAAAGGACGATCGTTTTGACTGTTGACCGTGACACCCTCATCAGAAAAATGTCCAACATGAGAAAAGTGGAGCCGAGTGCAGGATTTTACAACAAAAATGGACTTATTCCTGTTTGTTAATGTTAAAACTTTGTGTTGAAATTGTATTTTTCTTAAACTTTCAGGTTGTTCATAATATTATAATATTTCGTAAAAGAAAGAGTTCATCAATTAAAAAAGATTTCTGTAATAGATTTGTGATTCTCTGCACAAATATTTGAACTTATTGTTATTTTTTAAGTGTTCACATAGTCTTTTTAAAGCGGAATTCATTTTTATTTGGAATTAAATTATTTTTATTTGGAATTAAATCTGTCATGTAAACGTGGCAGGTGGAGGATCTGGACACGTCTGGGCTCACGTACAAACAGCTCCTTTAACACATTTTTATATTTGTATTATTATTATTTTCAAATTAAATGATCTAGTTCAAGTTAAATTCAAATTAAACGTTGAATATCTGGGTTTTCTTCGTGGATAAAGGTGTTTTTCGCAGTGCAGCCCTGGGTTCAGTACAAACGTCTCTGTGTCGGACTTTCTCGTGTTCAGTTTTTTTTTTGTTTCCGTAAAAGTGGAGCCCTGTTCAGAGACATAAAGCACGTCGTTCAAAGTAAGGCAAAGTCCGTCCAGCGCGGAGACGCTACGGGACAAAACGCAAACGTCCAAACGGCTTCGGCGACGTTTCGGCTTCGGCTCGGACGCGACACGATGAGGAGTTTGATGCAGAAGCGTTTTACTCACACACAGTTCAGATTAAAGAGGGGGTATTACACGGCACAAGAGCGACTTTTTCGGCGCTTTCTTCCAACTTATAACGTTGTTCCTTCGTCGTTTCTTAATGTAAAATATCTAAGCTGATGAAATTCGTACTTTTTGCTGCTAATATTCTACGTTCAGGGGATAAATTTGAAGCAGCTTTTGTCTCAAGTAACTGTGGATATGAATGAGTTAAAAAAAAGGTTTGATAAAAATAAATGATCATTGAATTTAAAAAAGACTCGTGTGATTTGGAAAAAGTTCCACACCAGCAACAACCAGCACCAACACTTGTATCATTCATTTGTTCTGTCTTATGTAAATTATTGTGTTGAAGTTTGGGGAAACTGCTTTAAGACTCATTTATCGCCTTTAATTTCATTGCAAAAAAAAAAAAAAGCCATTAGGTTTGCTCATAAAGTCCACGATCTGCATCCAACAAACCCACAGTTTTTAAAATCATCATGATGTGGTCAACTTCAAAACAGCTCAAATTATGTTCGCGGCGTCTGTTAACGCTCTTCTAACTATTTTAAACGATTTATTTTCAGATCGAAATGCTCGTCTTAAAGAAATTTTATCAGCCGAAATTTAGAACAACTTTAAAGTCAATGTGCATCAACGTCAGAACGGATTATCAGAAGAACTAAAACGCCCTGAGCACAGAGCTGAGGTCCGGGGGAAAAAACATGTCTGGAGAGGTTTGGGTAATCTAGAGATCTGTTCTGAGCCTCCGTCCCTCATGCTCCCGCACGAAAATCCTCCGTAAACACACAAAAACATGATACAAAACAAAAAAAAAAACCCAAAAAACACAGCAGTTTGACAAACCTGATGTGACGTGCAGTAGTTCCGTGACTTTGCGGTGGCGCTCTGAAGGGGGAGTGACTTAGCGCGGGGAGCAAAGGGGCAGAAGTAACAGAAAATACCCCCTCTTTAATTAAAAGAACGTTTTTTTAGTTTGGTGCTTCAGTCGGTCTGTGCTTCTTTTGGGAGCTTGTGCTTTTCTCATCGACACTTGTGCTTCAAAGTTAAACTCGGGGATCGATGTGCAGTTTTACAAAACACAAATTTAAATTTAACTTCAGAGTTTAGACAAATTTCACAATTATTTCATAAAAAATCTCAAACTTAAAGGTCCAATGTTACGCAAAACGGACTCCTGCGATGTGCTTGAAGTGGGAGCGAGTCTCTGTTCCCTCATTTCTAAGGTTTTGATTGTTTTTTTTTTTCCAAAATTAGGCTCCATGTTCCCACGTTTTCTTTATCATCAAGAGTTTTTTCACAACGTTTGGAAGTGTCGCGGTTTGCGGGACTTTCGATTAATGTTTTTCTGTGTAAATGTGTGTCACCAAATCTTCAACCAACAAACTCCACAAAGGACAAATACGGAAGCCCTGAGTGGCAAGAGAAAAAAATAAATAAATAAAATTAAAAAAAATAATTAAAAATAGGCTAATCATTTGGGCTCTAATTTCTAAGTGTTTTTATTTTTATTTATTTATTTTTTATTATATACATATTTTTGCACTAACAACTGTTTTTTTAAATTGTTGATGTGGCTAATAATAATAATAATAATAATAATAATAATAATAATAATTTAAAAAAATAAACACTTCAGAGTGTAGCTCATTGTGTTTTTTTGTTTTTTGTTTTCTCAGCCACATCAATGATAAAAAATAAAATAAAATAAAATGTTGTTGGTGGCAACAAAAAAAAAAAAAGAAGGAAAAAAAAAAAACACTTAGAAAATAGAGCCCAAATGACGTGTCTTTTTTTCCCCTCTTGCCTCTCAGGGCTTCCGTAGAAAAACATTCGTCATGAACAATTTATCCACAACGATCAAGAGAAGAAAGAACAAAACTTAAAGGAAACAACAACGAGCCACATTAGTCACACAACAAACTCAACTCATGTTCTGATCCTGAAGAAAACAGAAGGAACTTGTTCACTCAAACTCGTTCTACTGTTACAATAAAAAATCTATTTCATGATGTGAATATTTAGTCAGTCTGGTGTCGTCTAGTGTCTCTGCTCAGTTTAATTTCTCTCTAATGACCAGGTCAGGAATCAGAAAACACTAGACGCTTCGCAAAAACCCTAGAAGTGCGAGTTCGGGCTAAAGCCAATCAGAGAAGAGACAGACATTCTGTGTTGTCAACGATTCCCGAGATTCCAGAGGATTTAAAACAAAGAGAATGTTTGGTGAATTTGATCTCGGGGAAAGACGTTGTTGTTCTTCTTCCTACAGGATTTGGAGCTTTACAAACGTCACGACCAAACAGCAGCGACTGGTTAAACGATAAAAAGTCGAGCGAACGAATTCTAACCCTGGCTCTCCCTCGGATGATTTTCTGCTAAAATATTTTCATTATATTTTAAAACCTGAAGACAGAATTTGCTATTTTTCGCAGACCGTTCACAGTCAAAACCTCAGATGTGCCTGCAGACATGCAACGAGAAATAATAGATTTACTGTTACTACGTTTGTGAGTCTCCGTAATGAACATTAATAAAATAAATCTGACCACACAAACACATGACTGACATTCTGAAGATAACAGCTCCTCACGGTGCCTGATACTGATGCACTTTTCAGGAGCAAAAAGAAAACATGACTAAATTGTATGAAATGCAAACAAGTTCATGTTAAAATTTTGTGTTGAAATTGTATTTTTCTTAAAGTTTCAGGTTGTTCATAATATTATAATATTTTGTAAAAGAAAGAGTTCATCAATTCAAAAAGATTTCTGTAATAGATTTGTGTTTCTCTGCACAAATATTTGAACTTATTGTTATTTTTGGGGTTTATATGACATGAGTTTTCTGATCCGGACACTTTGGACACGACCCCCGGAACAAAATGAGTTGGACACTTCTGTTTTCTTCAGGATCAGAACATGAGTTGAGTTTGTTGTGTGACTAATGTGGCTCGTTGTTGTTTCCTTTAAGTTTTGCTCTTTCTTCTCTTGATCGTTGTGGATAAATAGTTCATGTTGGAATGTTTATCGTTTGTGGAGTTTGTTGGTTGAAGATTTGGTGATGGGGCAGATTTACGAAGCTGCTGGAGAAAACCACACACACATAACCTGATACAAGTTTCAAAATCTTGGCCAGATCGGAGAAATTTTCCACGTGAATGAAACAAAACACAACTCCGGGTCTGTTTGTGATGAGGAAACGACATTATAAAAGAGCGTAACACGGGCCTTTAAACATGAGAGTCTGTGCTTTTACGTGTGAGTAATACGCTCGTCTGACCACAGGGGGCAGTGTGGAGATGGAGGCTGGTGTCAGGTCCATGGCTGGTTCATGAAGTTTTTATAGAAATCTGACGACGCGACGGTGTTCGATATGTGCTTCGTAAAAATCATTGGGCTAAAAGACTCCAGGGCCACAGCGGTGAAACTAAGAACAGCAGTTGTATCCAAAGAGGGCGCCTGCACCCGAAACTCTGAGCTTAAATTACTTTTGTCTAATATTATTATTTTAAAAAACATCTAAAACAGTTCGACATTTGTACGCCGGGGTCACCACGAGCCCGGACTCGAGGAGGACCGTCGGAACCTGCTTCAAAGTCCGTTTCGAAGCAAAGAATCCTCGACGAAAACCGAAAAAAAAAAGGACCGTTAGACTTTTAAAGGTAAACCGTCCTCTGCGTTTGACCCGTTACTCGAGCAGTCCCGACCCAGATCTGAGCCCAGGTCCCGGCTGGAGGATTATTGTGCATGTTCGCAGGTTGAGGAGGAACCCAGAGGTATCCGGACACGGGAAGAACATGCAAACTCCGTACACGCTCCGGGAATCGAACCCCAAAACCTTCTTGTGCTGTCTTCACCGTCGATTCTTTGTCGTTAAAAACCCACAAAAAACACAGGTTTCCAAATCACGCTCCGTGACGAATTCAGAACTAAACCGGGACTACGTTTGGACCAAAGTTGTCCCGTCCACGCGCCGTCGTCTCCGGTGAAGAACCAGGATCTGAACCAGGACTAGACCAGGACCACCAAGTCCAAAGTCCAGTTCTAACCAGATCTTACCCACTAGAAATCGACCACAAAATGTCACGTTTTTTAAAATTTTAGTTTCAGCTTCGAGAGACGGAGGGAGAGCTCGGAGTAGAGACGCTGCTCCTCCTCAGTGTTGCGCGCGCTGGCTGAATGTCTCTCCCCGCTCTTCACATCTTAAATTTGTCATTGTAAGTTTGAAAATGAGTTTAAGTTTTACAGCAGGTTGACCAATAGGGGTTACGTGAGACTCACTGGAGGAAGCGTCTGGGGAGATGGAGGTGTCTTCTGTCACCAACGGTAACAAATAAAACTTAAGCAGACCTCAGGGATCAAGAAAAGACAGATCCTGCGCGTGATTTGTTGAAGTTACAGGCCTGAGAGCTCTGATTGGTCGGTTTAAATTTTTCGGCAGCCGGGATTGGTCGGTTTGAGAGCGTGGACTCCAGTGATTGGTCGAGGAGGTCGTCGTGGTGACAGTTGAGGTGTTACCGGGCGGATTTCGCTTCTTGAATGGTCTGTGAGGGCGGAGGCGTTGCGATTGGTGCGTTTAAACAGTGGGCTGCCGGGATTGGTGGGTTTCAAAGCGTGGACTCCAGCGATTGGTCGAGCAGGTCGTCATGGTGACCGGTGCTGTCGCTGTCGTAGCTCTGGGGACTGGACGAGGTGGCGGCTTCTTTCAGACGCAGCAGCATGTTCATCTAAAACAGAAGAAACCAGGACTAAGACCAGGTCTAAACCAGGACTAAACCAGGTCTAAACCAGGTCTAAACCAGGACTAAACCAGGTCTAAACCAGGACTAAACACTAAACAGGACTAAAACCAGGACTAAAACCAGGTCTAAACCAGGTCTAAACCAGGACTAAACCAGGTAAACCAGGTCTAAACCAAGGACTAAACCAGGACTAAACCAGGACTCTAAACCAGGACTAAAACCAGGACTAAAACCAGGTAAACCAGGTAAACCAGGACTAAACCAGGTCTAAACCAGGACTAAACCAGGTCTAAACCAGGTCTAAACCAGGACTAAACCAGGTCTAAACCAGGACTGGTCTAAACCAGGACTAAACCAGGACTAACTAAACCAGGTCTACTAAACCAGGACTAAACCAGGACTAAAACCAGGACTAAACCAGGTCTAAACCAGGACTAAGACTAGGACTAAAACAGGACTAAACCAGGTCTAAACCAGGAACCAGGACTAGACTAGGACTAAAAACAGGACTAAACCAGGTCTAAACCAGGACTAGACTAGGACTAAAACAGGTCTAAACCAGGTCTAAACCAGGACTAAACCAGGTCTAAACCAGGTCTAAACCAGGACTAAAACAGGACTAAACCAGGACTAAACCAGGTCTAAACCAGGTCTAAACCAGGACTAAACCAGGACTAAACCAGGTCTAAACCAGGACTAAACCAGGACTAAACCAGGACTAAACCAGGACTAGACTAGGACTAAAACAGGACTAAACCAGGTCTAAACCAGGACTAGACTAGGACTAAAACAGGACTAAACCAGGTCTAAACCAGGACTAGACTAGGACTAAAACAGGACTAAACCAGGTCTAAACCAGGACTAGACTAGGACTAAAACAGGTCTAAACCAGGTCTAAACCAGGACTAAACCAGGTCTAAACCAGGTCTAAACCAGGACTAAAACAGGACTAAAACAGGACTAAACCAGGACTGAACCAGGTCTAAACCAGGACTAAACCAGGACTAAACCAGGACTAAACCAGGTCTAAACCAGGACTAGACTAGGACTAAAACAGGTCTAAACCAGGTCTAAACCAGGACTAGACTAAACCAGGACTAAAACAGGTCTAAACCAGGTCTAAACCAGGACTAAACCAGGTCTAAACCAGGTCTAAACCAGGACTAAACTAAACCAGGACTAAAACAGGTCTAAACCAGGACTAAACCAGGACTAAACCAGGTCTAAACCAAGTCTAAACCAGGACTAAACCAGGTCTAAACCAGGTCTAAACCAGGACTAAACCAGGACTAAAACAGGACTAAACCAGGACTGAACCAGGTCTAAACCAGGTCTAAACCAGGACTAAACCAGGACTAAACCAGGTCTAAACCAGGTCTAAACCAGGACTAAACCAGGACTAAAACAGGACTAAACCAGGACTGAACCAGGTCTAAACCAGGTCTAAACCAGGACTAAACCAGGACTAAACCAGGACTAAACCAGGTCTAAACCAGGACTAGACTAGGACTAAAACAGGACTAAACCAGGACTAAACTAGGACTGAACCAGGTCTAAACCAGGTCTAAACCAGGACTAAACCAGGTCTAAACCAGGACTAAACCAGGTCTAAACCAGGACTGAACCAGGTCTAAACCAGGTCTAAACCAGGACTAGACTAGGACTAAAACAGGACTAAACCAGGACTAAACTAGGACTGAACCAGGTCTAAACCAGGTCTAAACCAGGACTAAACCAGGACTAAACCAGGTCTTAACCAGGACTTAACCAGGTCTAAACCAGGACTAAACCAGGACTAAACCAGGTCTAAACCAGGTCTAAACCAGGACTAAACCAGGTCTAAACCAGGACTAAACCAGGACTAGACTAGGACTAAAACAGGACTAAACCAAGACTAAACCAGGACTAGACTAGGACTAAAACAGGACTAGACCAGGACTAAACCAGGACTAGACTAGGACTAAAACAGGACTAAACCAGGTCTAAACCAGGACTAGACTAGGACTAAAACAGGACTAAACCAGGTCTAAACCAGGACTAAACCAGGACTAAACCAGGACTAAACCAGGACTAGACTAGGACTAAAACAGGACTAAACCAGGTCTAAACCAGGACTAGACTAGGACTAAAACAGGTCTAAACCAGGTCTAAAACCAGGGACTAAACCAGGACTAAACCAGGTCTAAACCAGGTAAACTAACCAACCAGGTCTAAACCAGGGACTAAACCAGGACTAAACCAGGCTAAACCAGGACTAAAACAGGACTAAAACCAGGTCTAAACCAGGACTAACTAGGAACTAAAACAGGACTAAAACCAGGTCTAAAACCAGGACTAGACTAGGACTAAACAGGTCTAAACCAGGACTAAACCAGGTCTAAACCAGGTCTAAAACAGGGCTAAACCAGGACTGAACCAGGTCTAAACCAGGTCTAAACCAGGACTAAAACAGGACTAAAACAGGACTAAACCAGGACTGAACCAGGTCTAAACCAGGACTAAACCAGGACTAAACCAGGACTAAACCAGGACTAGACTAGGACTAAAACAGGACTAAACCAGGTCTAAACCAGGACTAGACTAGGACTAAAACAGGACTAAACCAGGACTAAACTAGGACTGAACCAGGTCTAAACCAGGACTAAACCAGGACTAAACCAGGTCTAAACCAGGACTAAACCAGGTCTAAACCAGGACTGAACCAGGTCTAAACCAGGTCTAAACCAGGACTAAAACCAGGACTAAACCAGGTCTAACCAGGACTTAAACCAGGTCTAAACCAGGACTAAACCAGGACTAAACCAGGTCTAAACCAGGTCTAAACCAGGACTAAACCAGGTCTAAACCAGGACTAAACCAGGACTAGACTAGGACTAAAACAGGACTAAACCAAGACTAAACCAGGACTAGACTAGGACTAAAACAGGACTAGACCAGGACTAAACCAGGACTAACCAGGTCAGGTCTAACCAGGACTAAACCAGGTCTAAAACAGGACTAAACCAGGACTAAACCAGGACTAAAGTCTAAACCAGGACTAAACAGGACTAGGACTTCTAAACCAGGAGGACTAAACCAGTCTAAACCAGGTCTAACCAGGACTAAACCAGGACTAAACCAGGACTGAAACCAGGACTAAAACCAGGACTAAACCAGGACTGAACCAGGACTAAAACCAGGACTAAACCAGGACTGAACCAGGACTGAACCAGGACTGAACCAGGACTAAACCAGGACTGAACCAGGACTGAACCAGGACTAAACCAGGTCTAGACCAGGACTAAACCAGGACTAGACCAGGACTGAACCAGGACTAAACCAGGTCTAAACCAGGACTAGACCAGGACTAAACCAGGACTAAACCAGGACTGAACCAGGACTGAACCAGGACTAAACCAGGACTAGAACAGGACTGAACCTAAATAGTTTCTGTAATTTTCAACATATTTTTCATGTTTTTTTCTCAAATTTCCTCTTGATTTGTGTAAAAATTAGTTTTTGTTTTTTTGCAACCCTGACACAGTCCCGGATGTTTTGGTCCGGACCGGAGCTCGCGTCCGGACCGGAGCTCGCGTCCGGACCAGAGTCGTGGGTCTCACCAGGGGGTCGGGGTCGCTGTCGCTCTGGGGCGCCTCCTTGCGGGTGCTCTCTCGGGGGGCGCTGTACCCGTCGAAGCCCACGTCCTCGGGTCTGAGCTGCAGCAGCGGAGGCCAGTCCACCGGCGCCGACGCCCACGGGTACGAGTCCAGAACCCAGGCACACGGGTCCTCCCAGACCGCCCGCCGCCCGTACAGCTGAGGACCAGAACCAGGACTCAACCAGGTCTACAACAGGTCTAAACTAGGACTAAACCAGGACTAAAACCAGGACTGAACCAGGACTAAACCAGGTCTAAAACAGATCTAAAACAGGTCTAAACTAGGACTAGACCAGGACTAAAACCAGGACTAAAACCAGGACTAAACCAGGACTAAAACAGATCTAAAACAGGTCTAAACTAGGGTTAAACCAGGACTAAAACCAGGACTAAAATCAGGACTAAAACCAGGACTGAACCAGGACTAAACCAGGTCTAAAATAGGTCTAAACTAGGACTAAACCAGGACTAAAACCAGGACTGAACCAGGTCTAGTCCAGGTCTAGTCCAGGTCTCTCACCTGTAGTCCTTCTCGTACGGCCTCCAGCATGTAGGGGATGATGGAGTAGTTCCAGAGGTCAGTGAACCAAACCCTGGACCCTTCCACATCCATGGGGCAGGACAAGAACAGACGAGGACCTGCAGGGACCAAAACATTTACACTTTCACACTTTTACACTTTTACACATTTACACACTTTTACACTTTTACACTTTCACACTTTCACACTTTTACACTTTTTCACACTTTCACACTTTCACACTTTTACACACTTTCACACTTTTTACACTTTCACACTTTTTCACACTTTCACACTTTTACACTTTCACACTTTTTCACACTTTCACACTTTTACACTTTTTTTACACTTTCACACTTTTACACTTTCACACTTTTCACACTTTTACACTTTTTTACACTTTTTCACACTTTTTCACACTTTCACACTTTTACACACTTTTACACACTTTTACACTTTTTTTCACACTTTTTTCACACTTTCACACTTTTACACTTTTTTTACACTTTTACACTTTTAACACTTTACACTTTTACACACTTTTACACCTTTTTACACTTTACACACACTTTTAACACACTTTTTAACACTTTCACACTTTCACACTTTTTTTACACTTTTACACTTTCACACTTTTACACTTTCACACTTTTACACTTTTTCACACTTTCACACTTTTACACTTTCACACTTTTACACTTTCACGCTTTTTCCACACTTTCACACTTTCACACACTTTCACACTTTTACACTTTTTTTTACACTTTTACACTTTTTTTTACACTTTCACACATTTACACTTTTACACTTTTACACACTTTTACACTTTTTTTACTTTCACACTTTCACACTTTTTCACACTTTCACACTTTTACACTTTTACACACTTTTACACTTTTAACACTTTTACACACTTTTATACTTTTTTTTACACTTTCACACTTTTACACTTTCACACTTTTACACTTTCACACTTTTACACTTTTACACTTTTTTTACACACTTTTACACTTTCACACTTTTACACTTTTTTACACACTTTCACACTTTTTACACTTTCACACTTTCACACTTTTACACACTTTTACACTTTTACACTTTCACACTTTTACACACTTTCACACTTTCACACTTTTACACTTTCACACTTTCACACTTTTACACTTTTACACTTCACACTTTTCACACTTTTCACACTTTTACACTTTTACACTTTTTACACTTTACACACTTTTAACACACTTTTTTTACACTTTTTTTTTCACACTTTTTCACACTTTTCACACTTTTACACTTTCACACTTTTACACTTTCACACTTTACACTTTCACACTTTCACACTTTCACACTTTTCACACTTTTTACACTTTTACACTTTCACACTTTTACACTTTTACACTTTTTTTACACTTTTACACACTTTTACACTTACACTTTTTTACACTTTCACTTCACACTTTCACACTTTTCACACTTTTCACACTTTTTTACACTTTTACACACTTTCACACTTTTACACTTTTCACACTTTTACACTTTTACACTTTTACACTTTCACACTTTTTACACTTTCACACTTTTCACACTTTTACACTTTTACACTTTTACACTTTTACACTTTTACACTTTCACACTTTTACACTTTTACACTTTCACACTTTTACACTTTCACACTTTTTCCACACTTTCACACTTTTACACTTTCACACACTTTCACACTTTTACACTTTTTTTTTTTACACTTTTACACTTTTTTTTTTTTACACTTTTACACACACATTTACACTTTTTTACACTTTTACACACTTTTACACTTTTTTACACTTTTACACACTTTTACACTTTTTTTTTACACTTTCACACTTTTACACTTTTACACTTTCACACTTTTACACTTTCACACTTTCACACTTTTACACTTTTACACTTTCACACTTTTACACACTTTTACACTTTTACACTTTTTCCACACTTTTTTTACACTTTTTTACACTTTTACACTTTCACACTTTCACACTTTTACACTTTTTTTTACACTTTTACACACTTTTACACTTTTACACTTTTTCACACTTTTTACACTTTTTACACACTTTACACACTTTTACACTTTACACTTTCACACTTTCACACTTTTACACTTTCACACTTTTACACTTTTACACTTTTACACTTTCACACTTTCACTTTTCACACTTTCACACTTTCACACTTTTACACTTTCACACTTTCACACTTTTACACTTTCACACTTTTACACTTTCACACTTTTACACTTTTACACTTTTACACTTTACACACTTTTTTTTACACTTTTACACTTTTACACTTTTCACACTTTTTACACTTTCACACTTTCACTTTACACTTTTACACTTTCACACTTTTACACTTTTACACTTTTACACTTTCACACACACTTTCACACTTTTACACTTTTACACTTTTACACTTTTACACTTTCACACTTTTACACTTTCACACTTTCACACTTGTACACTTTCACACTTTCACACTTGTACACTTTCACACTTTCACACTTTCACACTTGTACACTTTTACACTTTCACACTTGTACACTTTCACACTTGTACACATCTCACAACAGGTCTGAAGGACAGGGACAGGAGCTTTTACACAGAAAAAGACCCTATGGGGACAGCGGAAGGACAGTGTGAATTCAGTGTGAGTAAAGGTCTGTTCAGACGGAGCGTCGCAGCGTCACGTTTCTATCTAAAGTCCTCGCCGTCCTGCGTTTTTGCGGCGCGTCTTCGGTCGTCAGCGCAGATCTGCCGTCGGCGCGTGTCCAGGGTGTCGGAGTCAGAAGTTGAAAATGCTGAACTTTTCGCATCAGACACGACGCGTCAACCAATCAGAGACGAGTATCCAGAGACACAGCGACGTTATGATCAGGAAGAAAAACCACAACCACAAACCAGAACCACAAACTAGACTAGACCAGGACTAGGACCAGGACCGGACCAGGACTAGACCAGGACTAGACCAGGACTAGACCAGGACTAGACCAGGACTAGACCAGGACTAGGACTAGGACCCAGGACTAAACCAGGACTAGACCAGACTAGACCAGGACTAGACCAGGACTAGACCAGGACTAGACCAGGACTAGACCAGGACTAGACCAGGACTAGACCAGACTAGGACCAGGACTAGACCAGGACTAGACCAGACTAGACCAGGACTAACCAGGACCAGGACTAGACCAGGACTAAACTAGACCCAGGACTAGACCAGGACTAACCACCAGGACTAAACCAGGACTAAACTAGGACTAGGACTAACCAGGACTAAACTAGACCAGGACTAGAACCAGGACTAACTAGACCAGGACTAGGACTAAACTAGGACCAAACCAGGTCTAAACCAGAACTAAATCAGGGTTAAGGCAGGACTCCACTAGAACTGAACCAGGACTGGACCAGGACTAAACCAGGACTGGACCAGGATTAAACCTGGACTGTGGTTTTATCGCTCAAAAATACCTAGAAAAACAGACATTCTGACTGTGAGTCGGGTTCGCCTCTCCACAGATCTGACCTGGAACTTGTAACGCTCCATTAAAAAAAGCTTTTGATGGAGCCTTCACCAAAAAAGTGACAGAGTGCGGCTTTAAATCAGTAGAAGTGTGTTGTGCTGTGCGTTCGTACCGATGGTGACGTCAGAGGAGCTGTGCGTCTCCAGGAAGCGGTTGAGGTGGTGCCAGACCCGGGGGATCCAGTCCACGATCCGGACCAGGTCTGGGTCTCGGGTCCGGCTCTGGATCTCGGTCTCCAGGAGCTTCCTCCGGAGGAACCTGCCCAGGAAACCCTTGACGGGCTCAGTGTGGTTGGCACAGAGCACCCACCTGAACAACAACACAAACACAACACACACAGCTCCGTTAGAGACAGAGTTTTAGAAATATTTTAGTTCAATTTCAGCTCAAGACAAACTCAACATTATTATTAGAAGGATTACCCTGTTTTTTTGGATTATAAGGTGCAATATCAAGAATGTTGAATTCTCTCGTCCATTTTCAGACATAAGTTGCACTGGATCATAAGGAGCATTAAAGTTTGTATGGAGGATTTTTTTAGTTTCAAATTGTCAGTGATAGATTATAGATGCAGTCGCCTTGTAATTATGATGACCAAAAAAAAGAGAATAAAAATTCATCAACTCTGGACGTGGTGGGGCTAAACATTTGCCAATAGATAACGACACTGCCTCGTTATCTGTGAGCTGACAGGCTGTCAATCAAACTCCCTACGTTTCTAGTGTAACTGACTTGCCTGCGCCGCCGGTACGTGGTTTATGTACGACTGTCACACAGTCCACAGACGCAAGACGCACAGACGCTGTTTACTCCACCAACGCAACAGTTCTTAGAGGCTTTTTTTGACCTATATCTTCCTCGCAGTTCGCACAAAGTTTGTTGCGATGGCGACAAGAATCCAGGAGCAGTTCGCCGCAAAAGAAAGTCCGTTTTTGAGGTGAAAGAAGAAGACAAGGGGAAAAGCAGCGAAGACAAACTAAGGTGATTCTTGGAGATTCATTCCAGCGATGGCGCGACTGAAGCAGACGAAGAGTCTAAAGACTGAACCACTGGTCCACAAATTACTCCTGGACAGGAAACTTCTGCTGATTATGAAAACTTACTTTATTTCCAAGAGGGAGACAAATGTTTTTCAGGACACGAATGTGATATCCTGTGTCTGAAAACGTCATTTTCAAGGCAAAGAAAAAGTCCGCCTGCTGCTGCGTGTTGACTGGACTGAACCAGGACTAAACCAGGACTAACCAGGACTAAACTAGGACTTCATTCGCACTGAATCTCCGCCCCCCTCCCCCCGCTCCTCACTTCTCCGTCTTGTCTAACCAACACTGTAGTTAGTTGTTTACAAGTCATGTGCAGCGATGAGGACTTGTTTTCTAAACAAACCTGTTTGTGGCGTAAGTGAGGAGGCGGGAGGAGGCGTTTCTCCGTAGGAGCTGTGGGGGGGGGGGGGGGGGGGGGGGGGGTTTCACGCAGGAGCAACATTTGACAAAGGACAAACAGTCGCTGGATTCTCCTTCCTTGGAAAATCCTCTATTCAACCTTTAAGTGAAACAAACGGACGACACTTGAGTCTGATCCTTCAGTCCAGACGTCCACGATCCATGGACAGATCGTGGTGTCATTCGCTCGGTGTTTCCTCTCTGTTTTGGTGAATGTGTTTTATGAATGTGAACGTGGGTGGATCATTTAAGTTTGTTTTTTTTTTTTTCCTACAAGGACGAGTCAAATATACATTGAGTAATAATGTGTTTAATTCAGTTTTGACGCATTTGTTTATGTTTTACACAAACTAAACTTAAAACCACATGACTCATTTGCATAAACTAAAAACAGCTCTTTCCTTGTGTCCAGATTAAAGGACATGACTTCGTCACTAAAGTTGTACTAAAACATTGTGACAGATTTTTGAGCTCCGTGTGCCACAGAAAACTGGTTCAAGGTCAATAAAAACAACTAGAATTAATACATAAGGCACCGGATTATAAGACACACAGTAGATTTAAAAAAATATACAGGATTTTAAGTGCTCCTTATAGTCTGAAAAATACAGTTAACAAATATGCAGACATTAAATAACTTTATATTTCAGTTTTTGGAAGAAATAGTTTGAAAGACAGAGTGATCTGTGTGTCGTTCATTTGTTTTTCAATATAAAACCAAAAATAAGAAAATGAAAAACCAACAGTTTTCTTCATTATTTGTCTCCAAAACCAAAATGAAAAAAAACTGATAATGATTCGTTTTTTCAGTTTTCGATTTTATGTTTAAATGAAAAATGGAAAAAAAATGGATAACGGACGTTTCCCGTTTACGTGACTTCAGTGACTGAACCAGGACCAGAGCGGGACTAGACCGGGACCAGACCGGGACCAGACCGGACCAGAGCGGGACCAGACCGGGACCAGACCGGACCAGAGCGGGACCAGACCGGGACCAGACCGGGACCAGACCGGGACCAGACCGGGACCAGAGCGGGACCAGACCGGGACCAGACCGGGACCAGACCGGGACCAGAGCGGGACCAGACCGGGACCAGAGCGGGACCAGAGCGGGACCAGACCGGGACCAGAGGGACCAGAGCGGGACTAGACCGGGACCAGACCGGGACCAGACCGGGACCAGACCGGGACCAGAGCGGGACTAGACCGGGACCAGACCGGGACAGACCGGGACCGGGACCAGACCGGGACCAGACCGGGACCAGAGCGGGACCAGACCGGACCAGACCGGGACCAGACCGGGACCAGAGCGGGACCAGACCGGGACCAGACCGGGACCAGACGGACCAGACCGGACCAGAGCAGGACCAGAGCGGGACCAGACCGGGACCAGACCGGGACCAGAGGGGACCAGAGCGGGACCAGGGGACCAGACCGGACCAGAGGGACCAGAGCGGGACCAGACCGGGACCAGACCGGGACCATAGACCGGGACCAGACCGGGACCGGGACCAGAGCGGACTAGACCGGGACTAGACCGGGACCAGAGCAGACCGGGACCAGAGCGGGACCAGAGCGGGACCAGAGCGGGACCAGACCGGGACCAGACCGGGACCAGACCGGGACCAGAGCGGAACCAGACCGGACCAGACCGGGACCAGACCGGGACCAGAGCGGGACCAGACCGGGACCAGAGCGGGACCAGACCGGGACCAGACCGGGACCAGAGCGGGACCAGAGCGGGACCAGACCGGGACCTGCTGTGGGCTCTGAGCCTCCAGTTTGGTCCTGGTCCCGGCCTGGTCTTGGTCTCAGTCCTGGTGTCAGTCTCGGTCTGGTCCCGGTCTGGTCCCGGACCTGGGTCAGTCCTGGTTCAGTCCGACATCACAGTCAAAGACGTCACGTAAACGGGAAACGTCCGTTATCCGTTTTTTTCCATTTTTCATTTAAACACAAAATCGAAAACTGAAAAAACGAATCATTATCTGAAACTGTAGATTTTTTCTTATTTTTGGTTTTAAATATAGACATACCCTAGATAAAAACAGTCTTTTTATTATATAGAACTCGCTGGTGATGCCCGACATAAACTACGGTATTGAGATTTGGGGCAATACATATAAGACGAATACAAAGCCAATCTTTACCTGCAAAAAAAGGCAATAAGAGCAAAAACATTATGAACTTATAACGAACCAACCAATGCATTATTTATAAACCTTCAAACGCTGAAATTTTATGATTTAGTCGACCTGTACACTCTTAAAATCATGTTCAAAGTAAACAACAATCTCCTGTCGAAATCGTTACAGAACATGTTCAAAATCCGAAAGAGCCGATACGAGCTCAGAGGCACGACCATGTTTATTAAAAAGAAAATCAGAACAAACATTATGAAATTTTGTAAATCTGTTAAAGTGCTGGAGCTGTGGAAGAACTGGACAGAAAACCTCAAATTGTGCACCACTTTCTTTCACTTCATAAAGAAGTTTAAATGTTTAACTCTGGACAGAAACATGAAACATGAGACTTAGTTTGTGCTGTAGAACTTTGTTGTTCTGTTACTGATTAGTTTGTTTCTTCCTGCTGTATTTATGAAGATGAACTGGTGTCAAGATGAAGCTCTGACAAAGGAATAAAGGGTAAAGGCAGAATAAGCTTAAGCTTCAGCCTGCACCTTTTTGGTCTGTATATGTTAAATATGACTGTTTATGAATTAATGTCAAAATATACATGTGACCCAAATAAAAAAAATAAATAAATAAAATAAATAAAACATTGAAAAACGAATGAAGGAACGACACACGGATCAGATTTGTACCTGAAGTTGTGGTGCAGCTGCAGGTTTGGGGCAGACGTCGTGGCTTGGCTCATGGTCCCGATGATGTACGGACTGAAACACAAACGGGTCCATTTTTAATTCAAAGCAGCAAATTCACAGCGATTTTATTCTTTTTTTATTTGTTGAAAAGTGACATTTTTGAAGCACACGTCAGAATAAATAATCAGTAATGAATAATCAGTGTTGGGGAGTAACAGATTACATGTACCAGAGTGAAGTAATCAGAGTACAAATGATGAGTAACTGTATTCAGTTACAGTTACTGTTTCAGTGAGTGGGAATTGGATTACAGTTACTTTGTTCAAATAAATGGATTAAACAGAGGGATTTAACTGTTTTCACATTTTGGGCTGAACCAAGACTAAACCAGGACTGAACTAGAACTAAACCAGGACTAAACTAGAACTAAACCAGGACTGAACTAGAACTAAACCAGGACTAAACTAAAACTAAACTAGGACTAAAACCAGGACTAAACTAGGACTAAACCAGGACTAAACTAGAACTAAACCAGGACTAAAACTAGAACTAAACTAGGACTAAACCAGGACTAAAACCAGGACTAAACTAGAACTAAACCAGGACTAAAACCAGGACTAAACTAGACTAAACCAGGACTAAAACCAGGACTACTAAACTAGAACTAAACCAGGACTGAACTAGAACTAAACCAGGACTAAAACCAGGACTAAACTAGAACTAAACCAGGACTGAACTAGAACTAAACCAAGACTAAACCAGGACTGAAAACTAGAACTAAACCAGGACTGAACTAGAACTAAACTAGGACTAAAACCAGGACTAAAACTAGAACTAAACCAGGACTGAACTAGAACTAAACCAGGACTAAACTAGAACTAAACTAGGACTAAAACCAGGACTAAACTAGGACTAAACCAGGACTAAAACTAGAACTAAACCAGGACTAAACTAGAACTAAACTAGGACTAAACCAGGACTAAAACCAGGACTAAACTAGAACTAAACCAGGACTAAAACCAGGACTAAACTAGGACTAAACCAGGACTAAACCAGGACTAAACTAGAACTAAACCAGGACTAAACTAGAACTAAACTAGGACTAAACCAGGACTAAAACTAGAACTAAACCAGGACTAAACTAGAACTAAACCAGACTAAACCAGACTAAACTAAACTAAACAGACTAAACTAGAACTAAACTAGGACTAAAACCAGGACTAAAACTAGAACTAAACCAGGACTGAACTAGAACTAAACCAGGACTGAACTAGAACTAAACTAGGACTAAAACCAGGACTAAACTAGGACTAAACCAGGACTAAAACTAGAACTAAACCAGGACTAAACTAGAACTAAACTAGGACTAAACCAGGACTAAAACCAGGACTAAAACTAGAACTAAACCAGGACTAAACCAGGACTAAACTAGGACTAAACCAGGACTAAACCAGGACTAAACTAGAACTAAACCAGGACTAAAACCAAAACTAAACTAGGACTAAACCAGGACTAAAACTAGAACTAAACCAGGACTAAACTAGAACTAAACTAGGACTAAACCAGGACTAAAACTAGAACTAAACCAGGACTAAACTAGAACTAAACTAGGACTAAACCAGGACTAAAACCAGAACTAAACTAGGACTAAACCAGGACTAAAACTAGAACTAAACCAGGACTAAACTAGAACTACACTAGGACTAAACCAGGACTAAAACTAGAACTAAACCAGGACTAAACCAGGACTAAAACCAGAACTAAACTAGGACTAAACCAGGACTAAAACTAGAACTAAACCAGGACTAAACTAGAACTAAACTAGGACTAAACCAGGACTAAAACTAGAACTAAACCAGGACTAAACTAGAACTAAACTAGAACTAAACTAAAACTAACCAGGACTAAAACCAGGACTAAACTAAAAACATGACAAAATCAAGTAATCCAAAGTATTCAGATTACATTACTCACTTTAAGTAATTTAATGGATTCCGTTACAAACTACATTTTGGGGGATGTAATCTGTAATCTGTAATCTGTAATCTGTAGGGGATTACATTTTAAAAGTAAACTTCCCAACACTGTGAATAATCAGCACAGAGCAGTGAAAACAGAACTCAAACCTCAAACAAGAACAAGAAGAAAGAACAAGAAGAAAGAACAAGAACAAAGAACAAAGAACAAGAACAAAGAACAAGAACAAAGAACAAGAACAAAGAACAAAGAACAAAGAACAAGAACAAAGAACAAGAACAAAGAACAAAGAACAAGAAGAACAAGAACAAGAACAAAGAACAAGAACAAAGAACAAAGAACAAGAAGAAGAACAAAGAACAAGAACAAAGAACAAGAACAAAGAACAAGAACAAAGAACAAAGAACAAGAACAAAGAACAAGAACAAGAACAAAGAACAAGAACAAAGAACAAGAACAAAGAACAAGAACAAAGAACAAAGAACAAAGAACAAGAACAAAGAACAAGAACAAAGAACAAAAACAAAGAACAAAGAACAAGAAAGAAAAGAAGAACAAAGAAAAAGAAGAAAGAAGAAAGAACAAGAACAAGAACAAGAACAAGAACAAGAACAAAGAACAAGAACAAGAACAAAGAACAAAGAACAAGAACAAAGAACAAAGAAAAGAACAAAAACAAGAACAAAGAACAAAGAACAAGAAGAAAAGAACAAGAACAAAGAACAAAGAACAAAGAACAAAGAAGAAAGAACAAGAACAAAGAACAAGAACAAAGAACAAGAACAAAGAACAAAGAACAAGAACAAGAACAAAGAACAAGAACAAGAACAAAGAACAAGAACAAAGAACAAGAACAAAGAACAAAGAACAAAGAACAAGAACAAAGAACAAGAACAAAGAACAAAGAACAAGAAGAAAGAACAAAGAACAAAGAACAAAGAAGAAAGAACAAGAACAAAGAACAAGAACAAGAACAAAGAACAAGAACAAGAACAAGAAGAACAAGAAGAAAGAACAAGAACAAAGAACAAGAACAAAGAACAAAGAACAAGAACAAAGAACAAGAAGAAAGAACAAAGAACAAAGAACAAGAAGAAAGAAGAAAGAACAAGAACAAAGAACAAGAAGAAAGAACAAAGAAGAAAGAAGAAAAGAACAAAGAACAAGAACAAGAAGAAAGAACAAGAAGAAAGAACAAAGAACAAAGAACAAGAAGAAAGAACAAGAAGAAGAACAAGAAGAAAGAAGAAAGAACAAGAAGAAAGAACAAGAAGAAAGAAAAAGAAGAAAGGACAAGAAGAAAGAAGAAAGAAGAAAGAACAAGGAACAAGAAGAAAGAACAAGAAAGAACAAGAACAAAGAACAAGAACAAAGAACAAGAAGAAAGAACAAGAACAAAGAACAAGAACAAGAAGAAAGAACAAGAAGAAAGAACAAGAAGAAAGAAGAAAGAACAAGAAGAAAGAACAAGAAGAAAGAACAAGAAGAAAGAAGAAAAGAACAAGAAGAAGAACAAGAAGAAAGAACAAGAAGAAAGAACAAGAAGAACGCAGGACAGAACATGTGGATCAACTGAAACACAACTGAGACATTAAAGGTTCATTTAAATGAATTTGTCAGAATATTTGGCCCCGTCCAGGACCACGTCAAACCTTCTGAACGAAGCCACAACACGACATCACGAAGTAAAAGTGTAAATAAACTGAAGCCGCGTGTGAAGATCCAGACCTGTGCTGGGAGCTGCCGCTGAAGACGCCGCTGAAGATCTCGCCCAAAGAGCTGACGTGGTGCAGATTGTCCAGGATCACCACCAGGGGGCAGTCTGTCCCCGAGACGCTGCACTGCTCAGCCAGACCAGACAAGTACTGACGCAGCTCCTGAAACCAGACCGGGTTAGACCAGGGTTAGACCAGGGTTAGACCAGGGTTAGACCAGGGTTAGACCAGGTTTAGACCAGGTTAGACCAGGTTTAGACCAAGTTTAGATCAGGTTTAGATCAGGTTAGACCAAGTTTAGACCAAGTTTAGACCAAGTTTAGACCAAGTTTAGACCAAGTTTAGACCAGGTTTAGACCAAGTTTAGATCAGGTTTAGCACCAAATTTAGACCAAGTTTAGACCAAGTTTAGACCAAGTTTAGACCAAGTTTAGACCAGGTTTAGACCAAGTTTAGACCAGGTTTAGACCAAATTTAGACCAAATTTAGACCAAGTTTAGACCAAGTTTAGACCAGGTTTAGACCAAGTTTAGATCAGGTTTAGATCAGGTTTAGACCAAGTTTAGCACCAAATTTAGACCAAGTTTAGACCAAATTTAGACCAAGTTTAGACCAAGTTTAGACCAAGTTTAGACCAGGTTTAGACCAAGTTTAGACCAGGTTTAGACCAAATTTAGACCAAGTTTAGACCAAGTTTAGACCAAGTTTAGCACCAAATTTAGACCAAGTTTAGACCAAATTTAGACCAAGTTTAGACCAAGTTTAGACCAAATTTAGACCAAGTTTAGACCAAGTTTAGACCAGGTTTAGACCAAGTTTAGCACCAAATTTAGACCAAGTTTAGACCAAATTTAGACCAAGTTTAGACCAAGTTTAGACCAAGTTTAGACCAAGTTTAGACCAGGTTTAGACCAGGTTTAGACCAAGTTTAGACCAAGTTTAGACCAGGTTTAGACCAAGTTTAGACCAAGTTTAGACCAGGTTTAGATCAGTTTTAGACCAGGTTTAGACCAGGTTTAGACCAGATTTGAATCTGGTTTATTCCTGGTTTAGTTCTGCTATAGTCCTGCTTTAGTCCTGGTTTAGTCCTGGTTTAGTCCTGGTTTAGTCCTTGTTTAGTCCTGGTTTAGTCCTGGTTTAGTCCTTGTTTAGTCCTGGTTTAGTCCTCGTTTAGTCCTGGTTTAGTCCTTGTTTAGACCTTGTTTAGTCCTGGTTTAGTCCTGGTTTAGTCCTTGTTTAGACCTTGTTTAGTCCTGGTTTAGTCCTGGTTTAGTCTTCATTTAGTCTTGGTTTAGTCCTGGTTTAGTCCTTGTTTAGTCCTGGTTTAGTCCTTGTTTAGACCTTGTTTAGTCCTGGTTTAGTCCTCGTTTAGTCCTGGTTTAGTCCTTGTTTAGACCTTGTTTAGTCCTGGTTTAGTCCTCGTTTAGTCCTGGTTTAGTCCTTGTTTAGACCTTGTTTAGTCCTGTTTAGTCCTGGTTTAGTCCTCATTTAGTCCTGGTTTAGTCCTGGTTTAGTCCTTGTTTAGTCCTGGTTTAGTCCTTGTTTAGTCCTTGTTTAGTCCTTTTAGTCCTGTTTAGTCCTTT